ATAAATAATAGGGTTTTTCGCAGAGGAAGGTTTTCATAGTTCCTATAACTATTGCCGGAAGTACCTGCTTTTTTGTCATGTCCACACCGCAGGAACTGGGAACGATTTTAGTTATAGGAACACCTTTTGGGGGGACTAAATAGCGCCTACTTCAGAGTAGGGCCTAACCCAACACAACTTCCAACGACGTAAGTATACGTTGATTGGCCAAGCTCATGCTATACGAAGCACTGTCCCCCGTCATTTTTGAAAAGCCACGTAAACACAAACTAACTACATGAACATGAAAAACAGCGATAGGTGGACGGACACTGAAGTCCAGGCACTCCATCCTCCAGTTGTTGACATTATTGAATGTCACGCTTAGGGCTTACGTCACTTCAGAGTTCCTATTGGTGGTGCGAATGCAATCAGGAAAATGGCTTTAGGGGAACATTTAGCTTTCAGAATACCGCCCTGGTGGCTAGTTCCTGTAACTACCTCGTTCGAAAGCCTTTGATTATATAATGTTCATTTTATAGTCCTGCTCCAAACTCAACATATTTCATATATTTGTGTTTATACCATCAGTTAATCCTATGATGTTCGTGTGTTTCACAGCTCTTCTGTAGCTGGCGAAAATGGATCCGTCCCCCACGAGGCAGCAGTACGGCTCCAAAAAGAGGGTTAAAATCCACCCCAGCACTGTCACGGTGAAGTACGCCACGCATTTCCCCCAGCCGGGCGATGAGGGATACGATGACGCCCCGTCTTTTGAGGACTTCGGCTCATTCATGGACAACAACCCGAGCAAGAGACTGGTGTCAGAGAGCGGTCACGGCAGGACTTTATTCGGCACTATGGATCCTCATCCCAAAGCCGATCAGAGAGATAAAGGAGTGGGCGGTCAGCTGGCGAGCTTTGGCGAGGCCTCGGTCATGGCTTCGCGAGTCACCTGGGGGGCCCTTTTTGGGGCGGCCATTGCGCACGGTTGCGTGGCCCTCATTACACGCCTAGCAGCCGACCGCTCCAAAGTGCCATCATTAGAGCTCATCTTCATCCGATCGGTGATCCAAGTGTTGTCCATACTGGTGGTCCTCTACTA